AGCATAAGAGGCAGACCTGGAGAAAAGGAAGGAAGGCTTTTGGGAACTAAAGAGGCTGTTGGGAGCACAGAGAGGGTGTTGGAGCTGGCAGAAGCTGTAAGGAGCTGTTGGTTGTTTTGGAGGAGCTCGTCATGCTGGCTTTCCTGATGAACTTGGCTGTTTTCATACTGCGAGGAGCTCGGGACCTTGTTGTCACTGAGAATGGCTTTGGTTCACTTTGGGGAAGCTCCAGTCCTCACTTTGAGCATTACTTCCCGGCTCCAGAGGGGAAGATGGTGCACTGCCGGTTTCCTGGAAAAGCTTGCTGCATTGGCTTCCCTGATGGGAACTCAGCCATCCTGATCATCGGAGGAGCTTGGGACCTCACTGTTGCCGAGGATGGCTGTGGTACCTTTTGGAGGAGCTCTGGTTCTTCTGAGCATCACTTCCTGGCTCCAGTGCAGATCCCTCAGCCTGCTAGCACAGATCCTTCTTCCTGCTGGCACAGACTTTGTAGATTCCACCACTGGCCTTTGGGCCTTCACAGCGCAGATCCATGAAACAGGCCTGCATGAGATATTGTTCTGGGCTCTAGGCCTCCAGGTGGACTTGGGGGAGGCATTGTTGTGAGCTCTAGGCCTTCGGCTGGACTCATGCAGAACATTATCGTGAGATCCAGGCCCTCAGCTAGATTCTTGGTCTATGTTGTGTGGACAGATTTCCTGTACTCCCTTCTATATCATTCTTTGGGTGACTGTTATAAATAATCATATAAAGTATGTGTCCTATATTATATTATCGTTCCCCCTTGCAAAATATCCCGCAAACCATAACACACCTACTTTATATAACTTTTTTTCAGTTTTACTATACATTCTTTTTATTTTTATGTTTTTACTTAACACTAGTAGATCAGCAGTATCTTTTCACTCGACTGCCCTCTTAGGGAAACATCCCCAGGGCTACATGGTCTGTCTGATCAGAGTAAGATACCACGCGCATCCCCTAGGGGGCTGGCGGGCTGCTTTTCTTCCTTTGCTACCTTAGAGTGATGCCGGGGATATTGTGATTCTTCTTCAAGGCAGTCACTTCCTGCAATGTCTGGCCATGCGGCCCAAGGTTGTCCGCATCTGCTGCCCAGAGTCACTGTCTGGTTCTCTTTACTCATTTCTTTTGGAGGTAATGTGAGTTGAACCCAGGGCCTTTGCACGGAGTTACATCACCAGTATTATTTTATTTTGAGACAGGGTCTTGCTAAATTGTTAAATTGCTCAGGCTGGGCTCCAACTTTTGGTCCTTCTGCCTCAGCCTCCCAGAGGGACTGGATTACAGGTCTGCACAGCCACACTTGGCTTCTCTTTACTGTTTTTTGTTTTTGTTATGCTCACCCTTTTTTTATTAGTATGCATTTGCGGTACACGATGACCACATGTATTGTGGGAACCTGTACAGGTACACAGCACATCTGAGTCCTTTTCTTACTCCTCTCCCTCCTCGCTTCCTCGACTCTTGGTCCCCTTCCCATTTGCAAAAGTTCTGTCCCTGTTTTCCACCATTTATCCTTTATTTTGCTTTTCAAATTGATTTATACTTTGGGTTTCTCATAGAAGAGAAACCATGTGGTATTTAAGCTTGTGTGGCTGATTTACTTCACTTCCCATTATGGTCTCAAGGTCTTTGCTCGTTTCAAAGACTGTTCTTTTCCTTTGGGTCTCAAATCAACAACAACAGCAACAAATACAACTCTAGCTGCATGAACTCAGCTCACGTACTTTCTCTCTCTATACCTTTCTCTTGCCAACTGCCCATTTTAGGTTAAAATCGAGACTTGGAATTTGGCACAAAAGGAATTTACAAGGACATAGTGACTGAAATGATACTGCAAGAGCAGAAAGCCTTCCTCAGCTTGCAGGATAGCAACCTTCCTTACCCACAGAGTAGTGATCAAATACATGAATTAAAGTCACCAGCTTGCGGGGATCCCTCTGGCAGCCCGCTTAGGATCATAGGGTCCCGGAAGGCCAGTGGATCAGATGCAAACGCTGCCTGCCATTCATCACTTTACTACGCAAACAGTGTAAGCTGCTGTGATTCTCTTCCAAGGAGAAATGGCAGCCTCGGGCACGCGCACTCCACTCGCTCCGCTGGCCTGTTGTGCCCCAAACTGTTAGGAAATTACTTCAAAAGAAAAATAGTAAAGACAAACGGACTCAGTTACATGCTGCTTGGCAATTAGAAGTGGCCAGCCTGATTTTGATTTTTTAATTTCTGATTTATATTTTTATGCTTTCCAAAACAAAAGGACATAATATAGTTTAGCTATAAAACTTATGAGTAATTCACCTCTGCAGTCTACACATTGTGAAGGCTAAATTGCATTCTCTGAAAATATAAAAGTCCCACGAAATAGTCTCAAAGAAGTTATGACCATTTAATAATGAAGCACAAAAGAATATGGAATAAGAATTTCATTCTTAACCAAGTAACGGGCCTTTCCCCCCCACTGTGTGCTCATGGACACACCGGAGAAACTGTTCATCATTTAGGGGTAGCAAGTATAATCAATAAACTGGTGTTCACAGATTTCATAGATGCTCTGGGCTTTTAAAAGCTCCTGTGTAGAAAGATCTGTCTCTCAACTTTCCATCATCTGTCTTTATTTTGCTGTTCATTAATACCTTGGGTTTCTCATATAAGAGAAACTGTGTGATAGTTAAGCTTGTGTGTCTGATTCATTTTACTTTACATTATGGTCTCGAGGTGCATACATTTTTCCACAAATGACTCAAGTTTATCTTTTTTATGGCAGAGTAGTACTCCATTTGGTATAAATACCACATTTTCTTATCTGCTGATGGGCTTAGGAAGGGAGGGGAAGAAAGAGGAGGGAAAGAGATGAAAAAGGAATCAAGATGTATTCTGTACATGTACCAGCTCCACACAGGAACTATAACAGTTATGTACTGCAAATGTGTACTAAAAAAATCCCAGTATGTAAGTTTTCCATTCCTAAAATGAGGGTTTTTAAAAACCTAAACTTTAAAAGTAATTCTGTTAACATCTTTGAATGTGAAAAGTGAGAAATACATAGGTCCTTATGTCTGTATTATTGATATCTATCTCTGTGAAGGGTTCAATCATGCCACTGAGAATCTGCAGTCTAAAAGAATAAAATGATATCCAGTCTCTACAGGCTGTTCACTTACAGGAATAAAACCCCTTGAAACCATATGAATTCTAAAAGCCCAAGGTAGAGTTGAAAAAGCCACCTTAAAGCTAGAATTAGAGAGTTCCTTACGTACAGCCTTGAATTTCCCAAGGAAAACTGTTAGACTCTGGACAACAATAACAATAACAGCGGGGTAAAAACTGAGATAGTAAACAGAGCTTAGGGGATAGTATCAACTGGTGTAACAACATACACATAATTGGAGTCCCAGCAAAAGAGAAGAAAGATGTAGAATGGGACAGAAAAAGTAGCGGCTGAAAATACTCCAACTTTTGTGAAAACCTTACACATCAACTCAGAAACTAGGTCTTAGAAATTCAGCAAGTGCTAAGCAGGAAAAACATAGAGAATCACAGCCAGGAACATCATAGTAAATTTCTGAAAAGGGAAGATAATGAAACAATCTTCAAGACACCCAGAGAAAAGTGGACACATTACAGATGCAAATACCCACGAGGGTTACTGCTCACCTCTCGCCAGAAGCAAGGACGGCCAGCAGGAAGGAATGCTGTGCTTGGAGAGAGGAAAGAACAGAAACTGCCAGTCACAAATTGGATACCCAGTGAAACTATTCCTCAAACATAAAAGAGAAACAAAAACATTCGCAGATAAGCAGAATCTGAATTTACTGTCAGGACACCTCTGCCATAAGCAATGCTACAGGAAGTTCTTCAAGCTGAAAACAAACAATGCATTTGGAACTCTGGCTCTATGGGGAAAAAATGAAAAATTCCATAAATGCTAAAGCTGGGTAAATAGAAACATTTTTAACTTTTTTTTTTTAGTTTCATGGAAAGACGACAGATTATTTAGAGGCAAACTGATAGATTCTATTGTTGCTTTTATATGGATATAAAATATATTATTAGCCCAAAGGAAGGAGGTAGAATGGAGTTGTACTGTTGCAAGTTTACATTTTAAGTGAAGTGGCACAACGTCACACATGCATATTGTGGTCATTAGACTTAAGAGCCCAGAAAAAGGTGACAGTGGGATACTAAAAAATTATTTAACAAAATAAGGAAGGACACGGAGGAACAAAACCCACAGTACAAGGAGAAAACAGCAATATGAAACTGGAAAACCTATGTTAGCTCAAGCACAAAAGAACACCTACTTTAAGAATTCTCTGAGGAAAAAAAGTCAAGATTAGTCAAAACTAATTTGTAGAAATCAGTGGTTATTTGTGAGGAGTGGGGCCTGCCTGGGAACAGGTAGGACAGAACTTTCTGGAATGATGGAAATTTATATCTTAACTGGCAGAGCCTTTTGCCTAAAAGCAAATATACATTTGTAAAAATCCATAGATATGTACATTCACAACGACCAATTTTTTTATTATTTTATTTTATTTTATTTTGATCAATTTTTTAAAAGCTTCAAAATCAAACCCACTTGAGGGACTTCCAGTTATAAACTTCCACCAACAGAGGGCGCTCCCAGCCCATTAAACACGCCGTGGGGGCCTCAGACACTTTGGGATGCAAATCAGACAGCTCTAGCTTCATCAGTCTGCAAGGTGGATCGCGCGGCTCCCCAAATGCTCCCCCTCGACACCCTACGTCCCCACCCGCGGCCTCCCGGGCTTGCTCATCCCGCCTGGCCACAGCCGCTTCCCAGCTGCTCAGCAGCGCGCCGCTAATGGCGACGATCTCTTCCGCCGCGCCGACGCGGAATACAGATGCGACCCGAGCTGGCGTGCGCTGCCCGGAGGCGTACCTGTCCCCCCAAGGTCCTCTCTGATGTGATTGCTTTCAAATTGGAAGTAGGAACGTAATGGAAATTTCCAGACTGTGCTCCACACCTTTATTTTTGACCTTCTTCCCTCGCCTTGGTGGCCGTGAGAGTCCCACTCCAGGGCTGCGCGGGGGCGGGGATGGAGGGACGGCCGCGCCGGGGAGGCACGGGCAGGATTTCCCCAGGGTTCCAGCACCCCGAATTGTTGTCTTCCTGCCACTTCCTGCTTCATCCTTCTCTCGCGGGGAGCTGATGGCTGGAGAGCCCTAAATGTCCTCTGCGCCCTCGCCCAGCCCCGCGGGTCTCTGGGGGCGCGGAGATGCCATTACACCTCACGTGACCCCCGCGCGGGGCTGGTCCTGCAGGAGGCGTCTCGCCGGGTGTTAATTAAAGGTCACAACAAAATAGACCTGCCGGCACACCAGAAGGAATGTCCTCCCGGGAAATGAAAAATGACACCCCAGAGCAGCCACGTGTGGAGCCTGGCTTGTGCCGGCTTCCTGCACTCCCGGGCGCCGCGCCGGGGGCGGAGGCGGGGACCGCGGAGGGGCGGCGTGTGGGTGCCCTGCAGGTCCTATGGGTCCCCGGCGCGAGGAGACGAGCGCGGAAGCTGGCGAGGGGACTGAGCTCTGGCCCGCAGAGGCCGAGGCCAGCCCGTGCCACACCCCCTCTCCGGCCCGCGCCGTCCGCGCTGCCCGTGTGCGGCGCGGCGAATCCTCAGTTTCCCCCGCCCGGCAGCTGGGTGCTGGGGCTCACCTGTCCAGCCCTGAGGGTTTAGCGCCCCGCGGGTTGGGGCTCCGGCGGGGCAGGCAGGCGGGCGGGCTGGGGGCGGGGGCAAGGGCCCGCGGGTCCTCCAGCTGCGCTCCGGGAGGGAGGCCCCCGGGCGGCCCCGGGTGGGGAGGACCGTTCCAGAAAAGGTTTGCAGGGCAGGTCTGGGAGAACAAAGGGCGGGGGGAGGACCCAGCGTGTTTGTGGACTTGTGACTCAATCCGTTTTACACGGCGTTTCAAAAGCAGACCTGCAAGCCTCGCCAGGAAGAGAAAAGAACTTGGGGGCGGGGGAGCTGGGGCGCAGCGTTCCCGTCCCCCCGCAGCGGCGTGGCCTTAGAGCCCCGGCCGCGGGCCACTCGCCAGGAACTTCCTCGCCGGGAGCGAGATTTACGACCCCACCCCCGCCCGGGAGCGCGGCCTCGCAATGTCAGGCAGGAGCGCCGCGCCATAAAATGGATCCCGGGCGGCGCGGCGGCAGCAGGCGGGCGGCGGGCTCCAAGGAGGCGCGGCCGCGGCTCCCGAGGTTCTGCGCTGCGCCCAGGCGCACACGCGCGCCCTGACCGTGGACGGCTCCGGGCCACGCAGGGCCGCCCCACTCCCTGCCCTCGCGCAACTGTCAGGCGAAACGGGCCGGCGCATATTGGCTTGGCGACACGCCGAGGCTCCTCCCCGAGTCTGGATCTTTATATTTTGGGAGAATTTCTTTGAACTCAGCGAGCGCGGTGAAGGAGGCAAGTTCCCACCGCCGGCTGCGCGGGCGGAGGGCGCGTGCGGGCGCGGCGCGGCGCGGGCTCGCCCACCTTCCCGCGGCCGCTGTGCGCCCGATCGGCCCCTCTGTCTCCTCGCGGAGGAGAACCGACTGACTTGGCTGAGGGCGATGCCAGTGATCTGGCTGTGACCGCGAAAAGAGAACGCGTGACTGCAGGAGGCAGAAGAGGAAGAAAAGCATTATTTGGAGAGAAGAATAAACCAGCTACTCCAACCCTTTCTGCAAATTGGTGCTATTACTTCTGGGTCCATTTGCCTTTTTTCTCCCCGAACCCCCAATTTGGAAATCTTGACTTGAGGGCCAAGAGACAGCCCCCCTACAACGGGGGAGGGGAGGGGGGCGCTTCTGGGTTGGCAGACCTTTTGGATGTAGCGTTGGCGAGACACTTAGACGCTCTCCTCTGCAAAAGCCACGATGAATTCAGTAGCTGGGAATAAAGAGAGGCTTGCGGTCTCCACCAGGGGCAAGAAATATGGGGTAAGTTGTAACGGGCACAAAGCGGAGACGCGTTACCAGGGCCACCGGGCGTGGGGCGCCCCTTCCCGGCACGCGCGGCCCCGGCTCGGCTGCAGCCGCGGGAGCTCCTGGCGCGGCCGTGCGTGCGCGGAGGCGGGTCCGCCGCCGGGACCCGCACACCGCCTGGCTGTCCGAGGCTTCCCGGCCCCTCGTTCCTTGCTTTCCCTGCACCCTTAACTTTTGCACTATTCCCGGACTTCTAGGCAATTAAGCCGAAGGGAGGGTTTCCCGTGAATTCCCTGCCGTTCCTCGGATCGTGTCCTTGGAGCAGGAAGGTCCTTTCATTTACTTGCAGGATCTGAAGGGCTGTACCCCGAATGAATTAAAAACCCAGAAGTCACAGCCCCTTCCCACCCCCCGGGTAGGTGTTTCACGATCTGGGACCTGGGCTCCTGCTAGGGTGGGTGCTGGGTTCGAAAGCGCGGGGCGCTGTGTCTGTGGGTTTGCTCTGAGGAAACCGTTCGCACCCCTCTCCAGCCGGGTCCCCAGCAAGCCCGTCTCCCGACCCAAGGACCAGTCCGCTGGTGCCCGGGAACCGGCGCAGGGGTCACCCGGGCGGTGGGGACTCACTTCAGGACAATTACTGAGACCGATGGCGGGAATGTAGGTGCGGGGCTTGGTGTAGTCGGGAGCCGGCGCGCGTGGGTCCGCGGGCGGGATGGCGCCCCTTTGCCCGGCGCAGCCCTGGGGCTCAGGATCCGGCAGCCCCGCCGCGTTGTCAGCGCGTGTCTCCCCCGCAGGTGAACGACGGCTGCTCGCCCACCAACCCCGCGGCGCCCTTCTCCCCGGAAAGCTGGTACCGCAAAGCGTACGAGGAGTCGCGCGCGGGGAGCCGGCCCACCCCCGAGGGCGCGGGCTCGGCGCTCGGCTCTTCGGGGACCCCGTCCCCCGGCTCGGGCACCTCGTCCCCGAGTTCCTTCACCGGCTCCCCGGGGCCCGCGTCTCCGGGCATCGGCACCAGCTCGCCAGGCTCCCTGGGCGGCTCGCCGGGCTTCGGCACTGGCTCCCCGGGCTCCGGGAGCGGCGGCGGCTCCTCCCCCGGCTCGGACCGCGGCGTCTGGTGCGAGAACTGCAACGCCCGCCTGGTGGAGCTGAAGAGGCAGGCGCTCAAGCTGCTGCTCCCGGGGCCCTTTCCCGGCAAGGTGAGCGGGGGGCGGGGCGGCGGGCGGGTGACCCCGGGGTGCGGGCTGCGACCCCGGACCGGAGGGCTGGACCACGCGCCTTGCCGCCCTGGAGGAGCCCTGGCACCGCGGGGGCTGTGGCACACCCCGGGGACCTCAGCTCAGGCGGCCGCCCCGCCTGGGTCCCTCTGCGAGGTCCCAGAGGGACGGAGCCCAAAGCTTCGGGCTCTGGGTTCTCCAGGGACGCCCCCAGGTGGCTCGTCCCGCCGCTGGAGACCGTAGGTTGCCCGTTGGCCTTTTCCCCAGCCCCCATCTGTGATCCTTTAGAATGTCAGTGGGGGCAGTCACAGCAAGCTGAGAGCTGGGAGCTGGCGTTTCCGGTTGCTTATTACAGAAACAGAGAAGCACACTGGGAAGCCAGCCTCGCCCCCTTAACGTTCCGTGTCTGTCGGAGGAGGATTAAGAGGTGGCTCGCTCCATGACAAGCACGTTGGTTCTTCCATAGCAACACGTCGTGTGCCTGGCCTGGAGTCCCCAGAGTGCAACACAATGCAATTGTATTTGCACTGTTGGGTCCAAGTACTATCGAATGATAATATTTACTCTTCCACTTCAAAGAGTTTTTATCAGCGGTTAGAGAGAAATACCAAGAAAACAGTGGATTGCAGTGGTTTCTGACACTTTGTTCAGTGGCATTTTCTGGTTTATATTTGTGACTTCTGAAATGAGATATTGTGATTTTGAATAGTAGGATTTAGCAATAACTGCATCTGCTTGCCTTGTCTGCTTATCCAAACACACGCGATGCTGTTTTTATATACGAGGTTAAGTTAAACAAATATCCACAGACTGCTGTAAAATTTTAAATGTGGAAAATCACCGCCGGGAGAATTGGTTTTATGAATCCAGAACTCACCTCAAGAATAATTAACTGGTGGGTTGTTGTAACAGTGCCATTTTTGTACTTCAGTAATAAATCTGCAGGACACCCCAAGAATAAATCTCAGCGAATCTGAAAGCTTATCTTACTCTTGCATGGTAGACCCTCTAATTTAACAGTGTTTCATCACTCACAGATTTATTTGCTGTTTCGATTATTCATCGGTATTCATTGATTTCCTACCCCATTCAAGTCACGGCGTCAGGTACAGCATAGAAAATAACAGGTACATCCATCCAGTCCTTTGCACACAGAGCTTATGTTCTCCTGAAGAATACAGAACCACAAAATGCTGTTTATAATTTATTCACATTGGTGTGGGAGTGGAAGAAGGCAGGGTGGGGTGCCCTGAGGTTATATAATGAGACTGGGCCGTCTGATAAAGATTTGGAGGACTTTGGTTCTTAAAGATATGCAATATCTGATATTTGGCAGTGCTAATAAGTTGCAGCCTAACAAATTATTGTAGAGTATTCTTGGGGATCTGTTATAATAGGTTATGTCGTTGAGTGCTTCTCATGTGCAAAAGTAAAACAAAACAGATTCACTTTATTGAAATGGAAGAGGGGGAGGAAAATGTGCAGGAAGAAGAAACAAATGCTGAAGCTTAAATGTATCCAGCGTGATTTATGAGGTCAAGTGACAAACTGGGTTTATGTGGAAGCTGCTCGAAAAATTCACACGTAGTACATACAGGAGGTGTCCCAATATTGCTGGTTTTATTTACGTGATGAGGTAAAAGTGATGCTGGGGAACTGATCAGATTGATAGAGCGAAGCACTGATGTCCCAAACCTTGGTGCTTTTCCCTGACTCACAGTGATCCAGGGACATCTAGAGCAGAGCTGCCAGTCATGGTGATAGACACAGGGGTCGTTGTAACGACATGCGTGTCACACAGAACTGCAGTTGCCTGAGTTTTATACGGGGAGCAGCTCAGGACTTAGCCAGGAGTCAGGGGCGCTTTGGGTTAGCACATTGTTAGTCAGGAAGTATGGGGCCCCAATTTTAACCAATCTGCACGGCTTTGGGAACAATAATTTTAGGAGTGTGTATGCACCCTGTAATTAGTTACAGTTTCCGTTGTTTCCATTATACCAGTTAAGCCAAAGAACGCCAGTTCTCCCATGCACGGTGGATGGTGGGCTATGTGGCTTGGACACAAGGCCTCTCTTCTTCCTGGTGCAGGATTTATGAGCCAACAGTGCACCTCTCTAGCTCTCAGGCACTGAAGGAGTTAAGTTTCATTAGAACAAGAGATGTCATTGTGACTCCAACATGTAATTCGCCCTGGAGAGTGAGAGTCTGGGAGATAAAGACATGTTTTTGAGGGATAATTAGCAAAAATCATCTTGTAATTCACTTAAGATGCTTAACTCTGTGGTGGGGAATATTTTTTCGAATGGAGTTATTAAATTCTACTAGGTGGCATTAAGTCTCCTAGGTAGGCATTTAAAAGTCAAAAGCAAAGTAGTGTATTCAGGAACCCTATTATTTTAGGATAGATTTGGTTTTGGTTCTTTGTCTACCGCTGATGTATTGGTAACACTGAGTAAGTCACTTTTCCTTTGTATATTTTAACTTTGTCCTTCATATCCCAGTGGGAAAAAGATTCCAACTTTTAGACTGTCATAAGAATTATCTAACGAAAGATTTGAAAAATGTTTCAATTCTTTAGAGAAAGACGTGAGGTTTAATAATTATTAATTAAACAAGCTTCTGTTAAGGTTCTTTGAGATTTTTCTCATGAAACATTACCTAATTTCAAGTTCTAATTTCCATAGTGTGCTTCCCAAATGTCATACTGCCATAGGAATTCACATCCTATGCCCATTTGTAGATAGGAAGCCCTACTGAATTCCCCTAGTTTTACCTATGAGATACTTGGGTAGGGGGTGGCAGGGTGAGGTGTGCAGCGCCCCTGGAGAGGTCACTGGTTTCCCTCCAAATTAGTGACTGGCCGTGCTAGCCTGAGAGTTCCACCTTACCCTGAGCACTCACAGGAGTTATGGGGCCACTGGAGAACAGAGCTTCGTAGCAGAATGTGACACCCCGGGGTTGTAACTGGATGGGAGACCGTGGTGTTGACTGAGGCAGCAAACACAGGTTTGGATGGAGTCCAGAGGATGGGATGATAATGCATTTGGGTTTCCATGGATGAAATTGGCGTCTTTTGGAAAAGAGATGGAGAGTGCAGGTAGATTTCATCATGAAAATTTTATTGTTGGCAGTGTCAAGAATCTCAAATGTAGAAGTGACAACTGTAAGTTCACATAATGATGCTCTGAATTTGTTTTTTTTCCAATAGCATCTTCCCCAGGTGAGGAGAGATTTGTGCCTGGTGGCAGACTGTAAAACATTCTGGTTGACTTTTATTACTGCAGTCACTAAAAAAGTGCTTACTTGGTTTATATCATTTCTCTTCTAGGGCTGGTAAGTAGAAGTGGTCAGATAAAACAAGAGTGTGGATGTGTGAAGTGTTGGGATTTTAAGTGAGGACAGTCCTTTTACCCATTGTAATGTTCCATTGTGGAAATATAAAACTACTTCATGTCTAGTGGTGAGTGTGTCTTTTCTGTTTTATAGAGTTGAGGCACTAAGCCAGAGATAGAGACCAAGAAAAAAATTTCTCATTTTTGAGCTAGCCTAGGTTACTGGTATTTGTGACAGAACTTTTGAATTGACGGTGTAAGCCCTAGGAAACATCAGCCTAAAGAAATTCCCCAGAGTAGGAAGCAATGCTCCAGGTTGGCAGAAGGTTATCAGACATCTGTTCATTTCCATATCAATAGAAGAAAATCTTCTCGTACGTAGAAAAAGTCCAGAACTATGTTTCTCTATATTTTCTTTTTACAGTCACATATTCGGAGTCCATTTATGCCCCAGAAATATCAGCAAGATTAGCCAGACATCCTGCGAAGGGTGGCCAGGAATCACAAGATAAAAGAAAGGAATGTGTCCTAGGGGTTAAAAACACCAAACGCGGGCTCTAAATAGCCAGAGCTCAAGGAAGTCTAGACTTGGGGAGATATAAATACATATTTCTGTGATTTACTAGCTCCAAAAGAGAGGTATGGAAAGTAACTCTATTCAAAAGATCCCCCAAAAGGCACCATGAAACACTTTATAAATAGATAAAATAGACATTGCATTTAAAATATTTATTAGTTATAAGGGAATTTTACTTGAAATTTCCTTCCAAGAACACGTTTCAAAAAGCTTCATTAGATGCAGTTTGGAAGTATTCTAGATAAAGGAATAGCTAAGAGATAGTATCAGTAATGAAAAATTCCTGCAGCATAATCATTTAAAAATTTCCAGAACATCTTAGAGTTTATAGAAACATTGCCAGGACACCATGTGAGCAGTAAGCTCTCCTCTCCGGCTAAGCACACTATGAAACAGCTGCAGTGCACTCTACCAGACTTTTAATTGTGGAACCGGCAGGGTCAGTTTCTGTAGTGACTTGATTCACTTTGCAAAAGCTCTTGGCCTGCAATCAGTTCTTCCACACTCATTGTGGATGGGATTATTGTATTAGAACTGTGATCTTCCAATGGCCAAGGCTAGTAGTTTGTCAGTGTTTGAAAGGATTAAGACAGTTAAAATTTAGGCCACATCGGTTAGTCTTTGGTCTGGTATCACAGATCATGTCATCATCAGCTAATAATGGTGATGACGATAATTGTAACGATGGTAGGAAATGGCTAACAATTATTGTCCGTATGTGCCAGGCAGTATACTAAGACACACACACACACACACACACACACACACACACACACATCTCACACACATCTCACACAGCTAAAGGAAGATAAACAAGATATTTTTTCCACTCTAGAATTCCAGATGGTTGGTGTGCTTGCTACGAAATACAAGCACACTTCCCCCAGAGCCACCGAGGGTCACTATGAGCGTGACTGACTGAGAGACCCCTGCCTAAGGATGGGGTCACTGTCTGGCTGTGCTTTAGGGGAGTGGGGAGATGGCGGCGGAGGGGGCGGATGGGTGAGACGTCAGGATCCCGAGTTGAGTTATTTTCTTGATGGGAACGTAATGGAGCAGGGAAGGAATTTCCC